TAGTATATATATATATATATATATATATATATATATATATATATATATATATATATATATATATATATATATAGGTATGTATAATTCAGTAGAGAGGATAGTTAAAATGAATATAGGCATGATTTGTTTATATCTACAGCTGCACGCTGCGGCTGGAAATGGCCAATACTACGATTTTCTGTGTTACTTTCCAATGTTTCGCTTAGTTAGCGAAACACGGTTGTCGAGAGTTGTAATACGCATGCGCGTGAACGACCCCCGCTCATGTGAGACTGTTGCATCCACAGACTTGCAGCTGAAGCACTTCTCAGCGTGCACGAAGGAAGACTGCGAGCAGAGGTGTGCGGATGATGGCGGGTCAACGCCACTCTGCGGCAGCGATGGCAAAGTCTACAAGAATCGCTGTTACTTCCGATGTGCGCAGGATAGCGACAAATGTGCGTACACGCGCGCGTATCTCGAACACTGCAACCATTATCATTACCAACGTCTTTCCGCCATTATGAAAGCGTACATGCGGGTTTCCCGCGTGCGTGCTTGCGTGCGCGTGAGTGCGTCCCGTGCATGTGCTTTTCCTCCAGCGCGTGCGTGTGCGTGCGTGCGTGTATGTGTGTGTGTGTGTGTGTGTGTGTGTGTGTGTGTGTGTGTGTGTGTGTGCGCGCGCGCGCGCGTGCGTGCGTGCGTGCGTGCGTGTGCTTGTGTAAGCGCGAGGGTACGAGTTGGCTTATTATGACTAAATAATAATTTCAATCACCGTATGATGTTGCAGCCTTGACGCGTGAGCTGCGCTGCACATCGGCACGTCGGTCTAACCCTGCACTGCCGCCGTGCGCGTGCCCCAACGATAATCGCCCCGTGTGTGGCACTGACGGACGCACGTACGACAACGAATGCCTGATCAACTGCGCGCAGAGACAAGGTGTGCACGTTACTTAATTGCTGATCAATTGATTGTTGACTAATTGTTGATTGATAAATTTCTTTACCGTCGATAATATATATAAATTTGTATATATATAGATATATTATTTATATGTGGACATAATTATGTAAATGTATTGCGACGTGGAACGCCCGAAAAACGGATTTTCGCCATTAGGTAACGCATCCATACAAAAAAACAGCCAGGTTTCGCCGATTTTCTCTACTGTTGCTTACGCTACCCACGAACGCCAATGTTCACCATGATTTCTCATTAACGCTCGTGAACGTTGCTTTTCGTTTAGATGGTACACTGCATGTTGCTTACGCCGGTGTGTGTAAAGAACCTTGCGAGTGCTCGCGTGACTACAACCCCGTGTGCGGAGCGAACGGCAAGACCTACACAAACGACTGCACGTTCAGATGCGCCCGCGACGAAGACAACGGTATGTAAGCGCGTACGCCACGTATACGGCTACTAGCTGTAACCGTAGCTACACCTGCATGCGTACCTACAAACACGCAGGGAAGCGGACGGAAAGGCAGAGAGATGGATAGACAGACATGCAGGCAGACGGACGGAGAGACGGAGAGAGAGACAGACAAACAGTCAGACAGACAGACAAACAAAGACACAGACAGATAGACAAGCAAACTAATCAATGTCTATGATCATGCTGAGTCGATATTTTTCTAAAAACATGCTATCAAGATTTTTGAGCGAGTTTCCAACTTTCCTAATTACGCATTATTTGTATTACTTATAATCATCGATCATTTTTTACACAGAACTGCAAATGAATCACATTGGAAGATGTAGCTCATTCTTCCTCTGCCTGTGCTTTTCTCGAGCGAATTCTGTATGTGGCAGTGATGGTGTAACCTACGTTAACACGTGCAAGTTGAACTGCGCTGCCCAAACCAATCCCGATAAGAACGGTAGGCATTTTTGTTTAGCTCAATTCCCGTCTTTACCTTCTCAAGCGAGATTCATGTCATTAGTATTAAAATTATTTTCGTTTGTTCATCTTTTGTTTAGTGAATCGTCTTAGCGATATCGCTGTTTGGCATTGCATCCGTATGCCGTTATATCTGTCTCATATACATCTGTCGCAGGGCTGACTATGGTACATACTGGCGAATGCCCGGGATCGTGCGTGTGCGGAACACAGCAGACAGATCGGATTTGTGGAAACGATGGGACAACCTACAGAAATCGCTGCGAACTAGAATGTGCTGCTGGCAATAATCCAGGTGCGGCAATTTATTCGAGTTATTTCGACAATTTATTTCAAATTTATTTATTCGTATACACGATATAATATGTTACCACTCATCCTGACGCAACATCACGTGAATTTATTACCGCGATCTCTAACATCTTACACGTCCATATCATTGTGGCTCAATAAACACATTTTAATTCAACAAGCGGAATGTAATCGTCCCCTTTGCCGTTGTTTCCTTAGGGTTACGGGTCATGCAGACAGGCGTCTGTCCGTGCGATTGCGACAATGAGAGCAGCCCAGTCTGTGGGCGGGACGGAATAACGTATAACAACCAGTGTGAATTCGAATGTGCAAAGCGACTCAATACACGTACGTATACGCTCATCGCGTAGCAATTCAATATGGCAACATTATGTGACATATTCCCGGTCCCATATCGCCCTTTAATGTCTGACTCAGAAGGAAGATGGATATTTCTTTAGCGTGTCCTGTTGACTTTCACTGTGACTTTTACTGAGATGTTATAATTTTATTATTTTACTACTATTATTCTTCTACATTTATACGTGCGTGATGCATTCGTTTATTAATTACTCTCCTATTCATTATATCCTCTATATAAAGAAACTCAGCGGATTTAATCAATGGGCGTAACTTAAAACTTTTCATTTATGTGTCCTTCGTTTATCTAGGCTTGCGACTGCTTAGGAATGGACCGTGCCCCTGCATATGCGCTGGAGACCAGAACCCGGTGTGTGGATCCGACAACGTCAGCTACAATAATCTTTGCGAGTTAGAGTGCAAGATAAATGACGGATCAGGTGGGTTTTAATGTGCATGTACGCGCGAGTGCGTGGATCTACGTATGAGTAAGTGCGTGTCTGTCTGTGTGTGCGTGCGCGCGTGTGTGTGTGTGTGTGTGCGTGTGTGAGTAATGTATGTGTGCGTGTGTGTATGTGTGTGTGTGTGTGTGTGCGTGCGTGCGTGCGTGCGTGCGTGCGTGCGTGCGTGCGTGCGTGCGTGCGTGCGTGTGCGTGCGCCTGGTGTGTGCGTGTGCGTGAGCGTGGGTGAGCGTGGTGTGTGCGTGCGTCAATACGTACGTCGACTTGTACATCCAACATAGATACACAATAAAAATCGAATTATTATTCGATATATACGCGCCGCATATTTCATTGACTATCTCTGACTTGCTCGTCGCTCTCTTTTTTTTATAACAGTCGCAGGCTTGCAGATGCTTTACGAAGGCCCCTGCCACCAAGACGTTTGCGATTGCTCAAATCGCGCACGCCATCTTGTGTGTGGTAACGACAGACAAACTTACGTCAACCAATGCGAGCTGAGCTGTGCGGCTCTCCTAATGCCAGGTACGAGAGAATGGAGAGCGAGTACAAGACTCATAATGAACACTAATTGTCCATCGAAGCAAATTTATATTTATATAATATGATGGATGATAATATGATTAGTGGAGATGAATGAGGGCAAGAGTTTTGTCCGTACGGTGTAGATTATTGTTAACGAAGGATCTACCGCAATCAGTATTTCCGCCGTCAGAGTTCGACGAAATAAGACTTTAATTTATTGAATACGACGTGGACTATAACAGGCGCATGCCTATATTCTTAGTAATCGTTTAATTTGATCGCATTCCTGATTTTTATTAAATCCGCAATTGCGAAACGTGTGTATACAAACAAATAAAACGTCGCGGCATTAATTGATCCGATGGTAACACTCGTTCGTTTAGGACTTAGACGGGCGTCAGTCGGCCCGTGCATAGAAGACACGGTGGACAGCCGCTGCAACGTGGATTGTAGCGAGGCGTTCGTCCCAGTCTGCGGTAGTGACGGCAAGACCTACAATAGCCGCTGTCATTTAGCGTGCAAGGCGGAGCACTCTCCTGCAGGTATAGTCTCTAGTTCCCGCCGACGTTTGACGTCATCTACTATATAATAGTAGAAAGAGCCGAAGTGTCGTTTTCCGTATCTCCTCCGAAACCGTGCCGCGTGTGCTCACGCGAATCGAGCTGGGGCCCCTTCTGGGCGTCGCGAATACATTCCGCTACGTTAGAACGCAATTTTTCCATCGTAAAGTAACTTTTTGAAGCAATTTTCTAAAAAGTTATGTGCCCGAAGAAACATCGGCATTCATCGGTAACCCGCACCAACTTTTAAGATCGCCAAATCCGCATGCGCACACACGCACACACCAAAGCCATCGCGGCTGCGGTGTATAAACAACCAAGCACTGCCGCGCACAGCTGTGAGGCGAAAATGTAATGCTATGACAATTTTAGACGCCGTTTCGATTGTCTAAGAGCACACACACACCACACTATATATACCATAACCTTTTGAAATTGTGTGAAACGATTAATGTGTTTTCTCACGGGTTTTAATGATAATATAGCTATACTAAATGTAGATTAAAAGTATAATAATAAGCATTTAATTAGGTGGAGCCTTCACCTAGCATAGCAAGCCACACTAAACACACGCACGCACACCGGCACGCGCACACACGCAAACACCAAAGACATTGCGGCTGCGGTGTATAAACAGCCAATCACTGCCGCGCACAGCTGTGAAGCGAAAAATTAAGACAAACCCCAACGAGAGACGGCTTCAGTTGTGTGTGTGCGTGTGTGCGCGTGTGCGTGTGCGTGTGCGTGTGCGTGTGCGCGTGCGCGTGCGCGTGCGCATGCGCGTGTATGTATGTATGTATGTATGTATGTATGTATGTGTGTGTGTGTGTGTGTGTGTGTGTGTGTGTGTGTGTGTGTGTGTGTGTGTGTGTGAAAATTGGTAGTGCATTGCAAAGTATCGTAGAAACTAAGACTAGCAGCAGTAGCCTGGGAATACAACAACAACAACCGAATTAATTATAGTGATGAAAAGAAGAGAAAAATAAGAGAAATAGAGAAAAGATGACGATGATGATGATGATAGATGATGATGAATGACGCCGGCGACGACGAACATAATGATGATGATGATTGATGAATGATGATGATGATCGATGATGATGAATGAAGGAGAAGAGGAATGGAGAGAAAAAAAAAGAAGAAGAAAGAAGAATATAATCGTAATCTAATACATATTTATTACTTATTAATATTTATTTATACTTATTTTTAAGATGCTGGCCTGGACCGTCTACTATCACGCCGAGTGTGAGCAGGACTGCTTAGAAGCGCTGCGGGGATCTCAGCGAGCCAAGTGTGGCGGCCACCAACGAGATCACGTACGCAGAACGAGTGCTACCTCGACTGCGCACGTAACCGCTACAGAATGAGTATACCTTTGCTTTCTTCGTGTTACGTATGCCGGCCCCGCTGCCTGCCTGCTTGCTTCCCTGCCTGCCTGCCTGCCTGCCTGCCTGCCTGCTTGTTTGCTTGCCAGCCTGCCTGCCTGCCTGTCTGCTTGCTGCCAGCCTGCCAGCCTGCCTGTGCTTGCCTGCCTGCCTGCCTGCCTGCCTGCCTGCCTACCTGCCTGCCTGCATGCCTGCCTGCCTGCTTGCCTTCCAGCCTGCCTGCCTGCCTGCCTGCCTGCCGACCTGTCTTACTACACGCAAGTCGTGAGTCGCTGTTGACGAGATCTGCATACGTAATAATAGCCCAAAGTTACGGCGAGATTAAACGTCTGTACATAAATACATACGCACCAAAAATACATACGCACCAAAAATACATACGCACCAAAAATACATACGCACCAAAAATACATACGCACCAAAAATACATACGCACCAAAAATACATACGCACCCAAAAATACATGACGCACGCAAAAATACATACCACCAAAAATACATACGCACCAAAAATACTACGCACCAAAATAACCATACGCACCAAAAATACATACGCACCAAAAATACATACGAACCAAAAATACATACGCACCAAAAATACATAATATAAGATCTTCTATTGTCTATTCTCACCGTACCATAGCGTGGTTCCTCGCAATACATTGCACCAGAAGTAGATCCCCTATTATCTACTTCTGATTGCACGTAGTATACACGCCGAGTAATATATGATTATTACATCGTATGTATGTGATAGACAATGGTGTTTCTTGTGTTGTAGATTGGTAGTCGACTACAACGGAGAGTGTGTGCCAGATTATCAGCCGTGCATCTGCAACTTTGATTTCTCGCCGGTGTGCGGTACGGACGGAAACACGTATGCCAACCAGTGCTCACTGGAATGCGAGGCCAAACTACAACCAGGTAGATAAGCATAGACCATAGAAATATATAGACAGATTTTATATAGAGATTATATTTTATATAGATTATATTATCTATTATCTTATCATCTTATTATCTTATCTATTATCTTATTATATATTTTATATAGATAATATTTTATAGATAATCTCTCTTCTCTCTCTCTCTATCTCTATCTCTATCTCTCTCCTGAGCGTGTGGATATAGCAATCTCATTCGTATTATCATCTCTTTCTCTCGCACACGCACGCACACAGACGGACTGACATGCACGCACGCACGCAAGCAAGCACGCGCACACACAAACATAGTCTCTCTCTCTCTCTTTCTCTTCT